GCTGCTCTCCAGCCTCTCATTCCCCAGTCTCCAGTCTGTTTTCCAGCCTGGGAAAATCTGTGTAGCTGCTCTGGTCAGTCTGGGAGCGTGGGGAAAATCACAATGCATCCCAAAGTGCCGTGCCCCACATAAGCATAAAGATAAAAAAGAAAAAGCCCATTGCAATGGTTACATGAAACCACTGGTTTGCTGCATTAGCAATCACTGCCTTTTCAACACTAAAAGTGCCAACTAAGCTCAGCTAAAAAATTATGCACTTTTAATTAAAATACATAAATAAAAATGACAAGTAGCATTGGTATTTCACAAGTTTGAAATCAGCTATGTATCTGAGTTCTTTTGCTCCTGAAACCACAGAAAGAGACTCAGCAACACTACCAAGCACGTAACAAGCAGTTTTTGTTACAAGCACTTCAGGACTCACTCGGCATATTTGTAGTGCCACTCTCCCGTGACTGAATCCTGATCGAACAGCTTGCATGTCCACTCCTCACCCTTAAGTTTCCTCTCTTTGGCACTCTTTCTCTGAGCTTCTTCCAGAACATATTTCTCTTGAGTAGCTTCTGTTTGGTCTTTATTATTTATTGCTTTTGTCACTTGTTGCCAAAGCCTGACAAACAAGCAATATAGAGAGTTACAATATGGTTGACAGAAATAACTGCAAACATTTCCTTAATTATAGGCTAAATAAATGGACCAACTCTAAACAGAATGTTACCATGTTGTAATATATGTTTTATCTACATTTCCATCAAAGCTCTCCATGATTGTTAGGCTTGGAAATAACGATCTTGTATTTAATGGTGTTGCTTTCTTGTTTTACAGGCCAGTATCAGCAAATATGGGAAAGAAATAAATCATAATTTGTTCATAATTTGAAGAGGTTGAGTTCTGTTTTGTCAAAATAATTATCCATGGTTGTAAAGTTAACTTACTTCTCTGACTCAAAGTCATCTTGCTCTTCAAACTTCACTGTGTATCTAGGCAATCTACGCTGCTTGATATCAGATGTTGGGTTCCAGAATGTCTCTGAAACATCTGTCCTCTTGTCATTAATAGTAACTTCACTGTCCTGTAACATATATAAATCAGTTACCTTAATTGCAATAATCTCAAAGAGTACCAAAATAGCACAAAAGGGAGAAATAAGTATGGTTTTTGTAATGATAATGTATTTTCTTTTGAATGCATGCAATTAAGAATAATTAGATATGCTAACTTTAAAATTCAATTTCTGCACTCTGTGCTAGTTCTAACGTGGAAAAGAGATGCAATGGAATCATTACAATGTCCAAAAACCAGCGGTGCCAGTGTCATCTCACCAGAACTGAAACAGGTTTAAACATTTCATGCTGATGCCATAATAATTATTCATATTACTAACACATATACTAAAAACATTTCACAACCCGAAATGTGTTTTCTTCATGTGTTTTCCTCATGAACTACTCAAATGTACTCAGCTTTTCACCTTTTAACAGTTGCAAATAACACTATGTTGATTCTAAACTTTCTTGAGAACTCTCTAACTATAGAGACACTTCCTGTAAAAGTGGTATTCTTTTTAAAACTTGAGTCTTTTTTGTAACCAAGTGCTAGTTTTCACCTGTCTCAACTATCAGGCAAAATTATCACTTACCCAGTGACCCTCCAAAATAGCCAGAACTTCTTTGCCAAGCTTAATTTTCCCTGATATTTGGTTAACACTGTCGTTGTTACCCAAAAAAGGCTGCAAAACAAAAAGAAATGCTTTCACGTTTCTTTTAATAGAAAATTATTTTTGCGTTTATGTTTAGTGTTAAGGAAAAAGTGTGTTTATGAAATGTGATTTAAACAGGCCTGATGGCTTTTAATATTATAACTTTGCCTATTTAATCCCTAAGACAAGTCTAAAACCACAGTAAGTTGTTCTCTCATGCTGCATTTTCATAAAATTTGTTGAGCAAAAACATTTCTAAGAAATGTGGAAAGAAAACAGAAAATGTTGCAGAAGGAAATAGTCATTTGCTACGCTAATTTGACCGCTTTGCTAAGGACCATTAGTTACTAGAGATTAACTCTTGCAGAAGCCAATTGTATCCTGGGCTGCATCAAAAGAAGCGTGGCCAGCAGGTCAAGGGAGGTGATTCTGCCCCTCTACTCTGCTCTCGTGAGACCCCACCTGGAGTACTGTGTCCAGTTCTGGGGCCCCCAACAGAAGGAGGACATGGACCTACTGAAGCAAGTCTAGAGGAGGCCACAAAAATGATCCGAGGGCTGGAGCACCTCTCCTATGAGGACAGGTTGAGAGAGTCGGGGCTGTTCAGCCTGGAGAAGAGAAGGCTCCGGGGAGATCTTATAGCGGCCTCCCAGTACCTGAAGGGGCTACAGGAAGGCTGGGGAGGGACTTTTGACAAGGGCAGGTAGTGATAGAACAAGGGGAAATGGCTTCAAACTGGACAAGAGTAGATTTAAATGAGATATTAGGAAGAAATTCTTTACTGTGAGGGTGGTCAGACACTGGAACAGGTTGCCCAGAGAAGTTGTGGATGCCCCCTCCCTGGAAGTGTTTAAGGCCAGGCTGGATGAGGCTTTGAGCAACCTGATCTACTGGAAGGTGTCCCTGCTCATGGCAGGGGGGTTAGAACTAGATGATCTTTAAAGTCCCTTCCAACACGTACCTTTACATGATTCTGTGATTCTATGAATTCATCACTGCTAGATAGACATAGCTGGATATGTAAAAGTTGAAATGAAAATTCCTCAGTTTCCAAAAGGACAATATCGTATTAAATCAGATCACAGCTAAGGAGTGACCTAATAGTAATTATCATTATGCTCATTCTCCTTCTTTTGCCCACTCACAGCATTTACTAACCTTGAGTTTGAATTCAATTGTTGCACTGTAGCCAGTTTTCTCACAGGTGATGTTGACTGTTCCCCCAAGTTCTAAGGTCATTGTGCCATAAAGAATTCCTACAGAAGAAAAAAACCAGCTAAAATGAATGCTTATAACTGAACAAGACCAAAAACCTAAGTTCTTTGGACATGATTCCTAGAGTAAACATCTCTGTGCCAGAGGAAAAATAATCTTTTCAGATGACCTTTCTTAATGATAAGCATGATCTTTCTGCCAAAGAAGATAACCCAAACAGAAACAAAAAGATTTTATGTGAATTACAGACAAGCAGGAAAAATGGTTTATTGAGACAAAACTTTGGCAGTGTATGCTGCTGGCTCTAGCAAGGGTGGTATTTAGTCTTATTGGAGATGATTAGAGGAGGGAAGATTTTGAGGTTAAGACAAGAAAATAAGACAAAGAGAGCAAAGAAAAACTTCACTTGAACAGAAGCAGTATGTACAGTCAGATCACAGGGGAAGACAATTATGGACAACCAATGTAAGACAACACTGATCACCTCTCTAAAGACTTTTGGAATTAAAAAGTTGACAATGCCGAGTACACTTTCCTTCCCCTGATTACTGTGTTTCACCCTGCAATCCAGCATTTGAAACACTGAATATATTTTACATACAGTGGATGCATGTGCAAATATGTTTTTTTCACCATGCACATTCTCCTTTCCTGCATATTCTTCTACCCTCTCCCTCTCTATCAGCTTTATTAGTCACACTAGTTCTACTTCTTCCTGTTTCACTTGAATGTATGTTACGTGCTTTTGTTAATTTTGTCACCAAAGCCATAAAAAAAGATAATCCAAGAGTATTAAAAACATCCATGGTAAGAGAAGAGCCTACCAAACTAATGTCAAATTATCTAATTCTGCTAATTCATTTTCATACATCTCAAATGAAGAAAATATTATAGTTGCTGACTATAAGGCTTCTGAAAGGGAATTCTGGCAGACAATATATGGATAGATACAACTGAGTAAGTAACAGTTTAAAAATCAGCAACTCTGCAATGTATTTTGTACTACTACTGACCTTCCAGAAGAACTATGCAAACTACTGACCTGGTTTCCCACGGTGAAACTAAAGACAACGGTCATGATTTATACTCAGATCACAGAGAGAGGTGTAGATACTACTTTGCCTTTTACGTTTACAAGAGGAAAATACTGGAAAAGCTCAAAACTGTTCTTTAAAAAAAGCAACTCAAACAGTAAATTACTGTAATGTAATGACAGATAACTATATATATGATCTTACTATTTATGAAAAAAATCTTCTTCTGTGCCAAAAAATAGATCATTGTTTAAACAACAGATGTATTTTTCTCCTGATATAATATGTGGAAGCCTAGAGCTACCAATGCTGCCAACTTTCAGAACACTCTTCTCAGATGACAAGCTTGAATCCAACACAGTATACTATTGAGAATAATAAACTTCTGTTCTCATGACTTTGCCACCCAGGGAATGAAAAACACCACTACCTTTACAATGAGCATATGGCATTGTCATTACATAATCTTCTCCCCTATTTAGGAATGTTAGCCGTCCTTCTCCATCTAGTATGGCAGATAACGAATTCCCTGAAATTCAAAGACAGAAAATCACTTTTGTCACCCTGCTAGACAATAGTCTGCATTTCCTAATAACTAAGCAATAAATTAGGAACATCAATATATTTAGCATTGCAATCCATCCTGTCCAGTGAAGTCACTGTAATATATAACATCACCAATTAACAATTAAAATACTCCAAAAATATAAATTAGTATTCCAAAGACCAGTAGCAAAAATCTGTAAGGAAAGGATAACACAATGATCAAACCCCTGCTTCTTCCAACAGCCTTCTTTCATCTGCAAAACACAGATCATTTGCACCGATTTTATATTCTTAAATGAAGGTACAATCAAAAAACCACATTATTTACCATAGAATTTTGATTTGGCCAGAATGCTACCACTAAGGCAAAAACCATCCTTGCGGTTGCTAACATAGAAGGCAGAGATTGGAGGATGGTGGGATACCTGTTGAAAAAAACATATATTTTACAAAAAAAAAAAAAAAAAAAAAAAAAAAAGAACATGTAGCATAGTATAAGACTTAAGTTAATAATGACAGAATGCAAAATTCAAGCTGCACATAATACAACACAGTTAATATATGTAAAATTATAAGGATCAAGCAAACATTCTTACTGAATTTCAAGAGTTAAGAACATTAGCACCCAACTTTTACTGGAGGAAAGGGAAATAAATGCTGGAAATACTTTTCTGTCTGTCTGTCTAGGAAGACACTAAAAGAGACATCTATAAAAGAACCTATGCTCATCAGGAGGGCTTTTAGGATTCCACTCATATTTAAATACATTTTCTTAAACTGTAACATTGTTTGTCTAGCACAAAAATGTGATACATTTATTTGTCTTCAAAATATTTGTACTGATTATTGCAGCTACCTGTTCTGCAATGTAAAAAGTCTTGCTATTCGTCCTTGGATGAATCCACATGCATCGGAAAGTCTCACCAAGTATAGGATTGTATGGCTTTTTTAGTCCCTGGACAGACACAGAACAGAGAGTAACCATACAATGCAGGTAGGGAACTTACAAAATACTTTATTAGTCTGTCACTGAAGATAAGACACACACACAAAAAATCATAATAGATGTGCTGAAGCACAGTGTACTTGATTTCATCATTTGAATATTATGCTCAGTTACTGGGCTCTTCGTTCCAAGGAAATCACCATAGATTTAGTATATCTGATAAATTATTCCAGACTACACATAAGGGCAAACAGAATATAAGAATTTTCGTAGGACAATTATTACAGACCCTTTACCTGAAGTTAGGTAGTAAGTACTTTCTTCTTTCAATACTATTTCCCACCAGTGTAGCTATAAGTAATATTTAGTGTAAAGCTAAATATTTCTCCTCCAATTGCAGCATGTTCTCACTGAAGAATGGTAAACATAGAACTGTCTCAACTTTATCACAAAATGTTTAGTTCAACCTCTACTCCAAGGAGGGGGAAAAAACCTCAACTGAATATAGTCTGTTTTAAGCATGGCTAGGGACCAAAAAGGTCCACAATGTATTTGTGTAAATAATGAAAACTTAACCTTGCTTTTAAAGAATACATAACAATATAATCTAAAAACAAAAAGTTATTCCAGTACCTCCCTAAACCTTCAAACTATAAACAATGACTAAAGACAAAATAATATGTGAGAGGACACCTTTGGCTTTTTGTAGAATCCCGACAAATACCACTTCACTACTTTTTTCATGCGGTTGTAAGCATTCTCTTCAACAGCAGCTCTATGAAACAAACAGAACACGCAGATGAAATCTCAGTAGCGTTTCAGTTATAGCACGCTATCGATCATTGTGATCTATCTTGGATCTAGGAGCTGGCTAAAACAAAGGTTTTGTGATTTGCAATACTGTAAAACTTTCAGCATGATTGCATTAAATTCAAAGTTTTCAAATAATTGTCTGAAAATGGAAATCAAACAAAAAATCATAAATGGTATTTCCGTAATTGAGTCTGTTCTTCGTAACACTAAATCCTCTTCCACCCCCACTGAAGTTCTTTCATTTATAAAAGGTACTACCTTAGAGAACCAGCCTACTCATACAGAACTCAAGAGTTGAATAATATTTCAATTTACAGTCTTTAATTTATTAGCTACATTTGAGCAGGCAATTAGTAATCTGAATGGAACTTAACACTGTATTACAAAGCTAACTGGTACTGTTTTATCATTTTAAATATGCCTCCTAGAGAAAAAAAAAAAACAAAACACTAATTTTGAGAAGTCTTCTAATTGGTCTCTAAAAGCTAAACCAGAAATGTCTGCAACACAATTGCTATTACTAAGAGCGGCCAGATTTCAAGAGGTACCATGTGAGTTCTCAGGCAGTTAGCTTTCAGAAAACAAGGATATCTGATGACTAATACACTGTCAGACAAACATCCAAACTCAAAGCAGTCTATGACCTTGCTTAGTAGACTGGATCAAACAACAAACATTTCAGTATACACTGTGACCCCATTTTAGTTTACAAAATGAAAAGAACAAAAACCAGAGATAAGACTGACTCACTCAGATAGAAAGTCTGCATGGTAGTAGTAATCAGACAGCTTGTCCAGGAAAGAACGAGGTTCCAAGATAAATGTAGGCAGTACAACCTTGGACAAGTCCATTCCTGGCCGGACTTGCTTCAGCAGTGTCCAGATCAGACTTTTGTTTTCTTCTGACACTACTTCTGTCTGAGCTGCCTCCCCTGCCTAGGATGAACAAAAAAATGTATACAGAAAAGAGAAAGAAAATAATCCTCCAGAAGACAGGTGAAAACATTCTAAGGATATAATAAGAATGGAAAATGCTGAAGCAACTATGGGGGAAAAATCAAGTTTTTCTATGTTTCACTTATGATACATCTTTAATGCAGTATGACAGATATACAATTCAGCATTAAAAACTGCATTAGTTTTCATCAGCTGTAAAAAAGAAAAATGAGGTAGAACATTTTTCAGAAACCTTCCCTTAGTCCTTTCCTAGGCATCAAGTACACCACCCCGTGTTCTCACATGCAGGGCTTGCACAGCAAAGGGCTGTTCATTCTACCAACTATTGCCTGCCATGAAACCTGCCACATTTATGCTTTTCGCTGCTTTGACCAGTTAACAGTATCAGTGATTTTCTTTAAAGAAAACCTCTACTTAGGGGTAAGTGAGCAAAACCCGCAGTCACACCCCAATATATTCCTTTCTGTCCAAGGGGGAAGATATTCTTCTAGACAGTTTCTGAAATCAAAAGCAAAGTTTGTAGGAAAAGCATCCCTCCTTCCAGAATAGTTCTGAAACAGATATCCAAGAATATACTGTCAACTCAAACTCCTCAGCTTTTCCTAAACTCCTGCTCCTTCTAGAAACAATACTAGAAAGCAATAAAGCACAAAATATTTATGTTTCAGAAGTATGAAAAAAAAAAATCTCATAGTTAGCATTTGAGAAGAAAGGGGAGATTTATGAAAAAGCTCATCTCAATTTCTGTTACTAAGTTTCCTGGCAACTTTTTAGCAAGTAAAGCATACAAATCCCTGTCATGTTTGCCTGTGTAGATGTGCAAGACAACCTGCAGAAGTGGAATGGCAGCTCTGGGGCATCATACTAGAATGCAAGGCGACATCGGAAACACAGCAAGCCTTCCACTGAATTCTGCAGACCCCATGGCTGCTTAACTCCTCTCTTGCAATAGAAAAACAGAGGTGTCAGCTTGCATTAAAATCTTCAACTTGAAGATTTTTACTTGAAGAAAAAAAAAACAAACAAAAAAACCCATGAGTAAGTTCATTAAAAAAAACAGAAATTAGAACAAAAGGACAGGTAGACACGGTCAACTTCTGCTGCAGGTGGTCCTTTCAAACTGAGGACCTTCTGTCTAAGCAACATTACAGATACTCTCATTATCTCTGTCAGAATCTCAGACACAAGCACAGGAGTGGCAAAGCAGAGCAGAACACTGGTGAACAGAACTTTTTCCCCTCATTATAGCTGAAAATATGAAAGACAATCCCGCAAGTCAGCTTTCAAGTGTAGTCTGACTGCTAAAATACCAGCTTTGTATTTGGAGAGGTTGCTTGCTCACTACATCAACAGCACTTTTACCTCCCCAAGTTCTTCATGGCTCTGTTCTAAATAAGTAGTTTCCTTGATATCAATTGGTTCTGGATCAACGTAAGAATCGTCCTGTCGCTCTGATGTGTCACTATCACTGTCTTCGCTTTTCCCCAATCCATCATTATCCGATTCCTCGTGGTCATGGTCATTTTCCTTATCAGATTTGTCTGAGTATGTATCTTGATCTTTGAAGTGATGCCTTTCAATTTCACTGTCATTTAACCTACAAAAAAATAAAGGCTAAATGAATCTTAAATTTCACACAATATTTCATGTTTCCAAACCAGGATCTTAAAATACACACTAAAATTGCCACTATCAAGCCTGATCTGGCAGCAATGTCAAACTAGCTTCGCTGGAAACATATAGGATGTACTCTTCCCACTGAACTGTCAAACACACCAAGGTCAGAATAATTCAGTTAGAAGGGACCTATAACGATCATCCAGTCCAACTGCCTAACCAGTTCAGGGCTGACCAACAGTTACAGCATGCTGTTAAGGGCATTGTCCAAATGCCTCTTAAACACTGACAGGCTTGGGGCACTGACCACCGCTCTAGGAAACCTGTTCCAGTGTTTGAGTACCCTTAAGAAGGTAGTAAAGAAATACGTCCTAATGCCCAGTCTAAACTTCCCCTGGTGCAGCTTTGAACCATTCCCATGCAACCTGTCACTGGATACCAGAGAGAAGAGAGCAGCACCTCCCTCTCTCCTTCCCCTTCTCATGAAGCTGGAGAGAACAATGAGGTTGCCCCTCAGCCCCCTTTTATCCAGTCTGGACAAAGCTGAAATCCTTAGCCACTCCTCACAGGACATTCTTTCCAGTTCTTTCCCCAGCTTTGTTGCCCTCCTCTGGACACCACCAAGGACCTTAGCATCCTTCTGAGTTTGTGGGGCCCAGAACTGCACACAGTACTCAAGGTGAGGCCACACCAACACTGAATACAGTGGGATGATCCCCTCTTCTGACTGGCCGGTTAAGCTGTGTTTCATGCACCCCAGGATGAGGTTTGCTCTCTTGGCTGCCAGGGCACGCCGCATATTGCACCTACTGTCAACCAGCATCCCCAGATCTTTCTGCAGGGCTACTCTCCAACCACGCTCTCCCAATTTATTCTTGTGTCTGGTGTTGCTCTGTCCCAGGTGCAGAATCTGGCATTTCTTCTTGTTAAATTTTATGCCACTGATGATTGCCCAATGCTCCAATCTATCTAGATCTTTCCGCAAGACTTCCTGTCCCTTGAGATAGTCAACAGCACCTCCTACTTTGGTATCATCAGCAAACTTGCTAACTGTGCATTCAACTCCTGGATCCAGATTGTTGATAAAAATACTGAACAAAACAAGCTCTAGGATTAAGCCTCAAGAAACACTGGTGACTGGCTGACACCCAGATGTAGCCCCATTCATAATATCCCTTTGAGCTCTGTTGTTCACCCAGTTCTTCACCCAGCACACTGTGAACCTGTCCATCTCACAGCTGGACAACTAGTCCAGAAAGATGCTGTGAGGGACAGTATCTAAAGCCTTACTAAAATCCAGGAAAAACTACATCCACCACCTTCCCTTCATCCACTAGGCAGGTGACCTTATCATAGAAGGCTATAAAATTAGTTAAAAAGGACTTTCCCTTTGTGAACCCATGTTGACTGTGCCCAATGATTGCACTGTTCTTGAAGTACCTTGCCATAGCAACCACTATGATCTTCTCCATAATATTTTCAGGAACTGAGGTTAGACTAACAGGTCCTGGGAAGATCCAGGAAACTACAGTCAGTCTACAGAGCAGCCCTGAGGAGAAGGACTTGGGGTACTGGTGGACGCAAGGCTCAATGTGAGCCAGCAATGTGCGCTTGCAGCTCAGAAGGCCAACCGCATCCTGGGCTGCATCAAGAGAAACGTGGCCAGCAGGTCAAGGGAGGTGATTCTGCCCCTCTACTCTGCTCTGGTGAGACCCCACCTGGAGTACTGTGTCCAGTTCTGGAGCCCCCAACACAAGAAAGACATGAAGCTGTTAGAACGAGTCCAGAGGAGGCCATGAGGATGATCCAAGGGTTGGAGCACCTCTCCTATGAGGACCGGATGAGAAGGCTGGGGCTGTTCAGCCTGGAGAAGAGAAGGCTTTGGGGAGACCTTATAGCGGCCTTCCAGTGCCTGAAGGGGCCTACAGGAAGGCTGGGGAGGGACTTTTGTCAAAAGGCAGTGGTAGAACAAGGGGCAACAGTTATAGACTCTACTCTCTAACAGCAGTACAAAATTCCTGCCCACCCAGAAAAGACACATGGGCAGCTAAATCTTCATGGGGGGAAGGGATTATTTGAAATAAATTTATGTCCACCTGAAAGTACATTGAATTGGTGGAAGATTACTGAGAGAAACTGCATAGAACAAGCTTCAGACCCAATTATCTCAAATAAAGGACTAAATCTTTTATATTTCCTAATGCACTTTGGTACCACAACTGAAGTGTTTAAAAATACCATTCATTTGCCATGCTTGTTTAATCATGTAATTCCAAAAAGCTTATGCTCCCCAAAATCAGTCTGAAAGTATTTAGTGAAATAAACAGGCAATTACTTAAGGGCACTCAGACATTAGATACCAGGTGATACCAGATAATTTCAACTTCTGTGCATTTAATTTAGTATAATAATAGGGTGACTGAATCATTATTCATCCATCTGATGATTCAAAGCTGAGACATGCTGAAACCATTTAAATAACGATAGGATTATTCATTTCTTTAACCAAAACCCAGCAACTTTCATTCATGTCTACCAACTTCTGTCACATGTACTGAACTTCTTATTTTCAGGTGAAGCTAACAAGAGAGACCAACTAAAGATACAAAAAAACCTTTAACAGCTTCACTTATGTAAACTTACTGATGTGATACTCAACTTTGAGTTCTCTGAGCCAAACTTTCCTCTGTATCCACCTTGCTTGAAAAAAGATTTTTTCATTTTATTCACATACAATATAAAACACAGTGCAAATAAGGTATATAAAGACAATTCAGGAGCAAAAAGATCTGCAACCTTACAAAGAGATTCCCCTTATGGAGAAGTTATCAATACAAGGTTCTGCCAAAAGGACAATCAGGTTTAGTAATTAATTCACTTACGGTAGGTTTTCTCCACTGTGCAAGTTGTTAGCACGAAGCAGACCATAGAGAGAGACATGAGTATTGTCTGCTGAAGAGTTCAAATCGTGTTCTTTACCTTCTCTAATCATTGTACGTTTAAGCAGACTTGAACATTTCAGTGCCAGCTCCAAAGCATCCATCCAACACCTGCCTAAAGACAAATTTAATATTAGAATAAAAATTAAGGATTTAATGGAACTGTACAACTTCTATTTCCTAATTTCACAATCCTGGTTACACTGCCTTTGCAGACACACTTTAGAGTTGTTCCATCTTACACGCACTGGATTTTATAATCTGGTGGGGACGTAACAACAACTCACAGGTACACAGCTCTGGCACAGGGGATGCTTCAAGGTAGGTCAAGCAAGGTGAATCATGATTCTGTTGGAGCATATTCCAGCATTTTTTCCTTAATGCAAGTACGGTTCCACCAAGGCCCTGACTGTTGAATTCCTCAAAATTTTGTGCAGCCCTGCTCTAGTTTTGAAGACTAAGTAACTGCATCACTTGGCAAAATGTGTTCATGTAATAAAATAACAATGTGGAAAAGGAGCTATAATGATAGCATATAAATACCATTTCAATATAAAACAGCAGACATTCGATTTTTTAATTTTTTTTTCACAAAAAGTAATTAAACAAATTTGTGTGTTTCTGCTCCTTATTTCTTCATTTCTGTGTATCTAATCCATTTTTCTATAAAGAAGGCAGATAGAGTCCTATTTTTAAAGTCTGCAGGCATAAGCTTAATCAACCAGTAGAAGGAAAGTAGCTGCTAGAAAGGTTACACAAGTCTTAAATTTTGCTTTGACCTCTGAAGATGGTTGTGTTGATATTAACCATTACTTTCTCAGTGATGAAGGGGTTACAAAACTATATTTTGAGGGAATTTTTACTACTAGAACTCTGTGCAACTGCTGCACTTTATGATACACAAATACCTTCATTAGAAAGAAAGTATGTTCACATCAGCACTTCTGAAAGGCTCTAGCTTAAGTATTCACACATACATTAAAATAGTTAAATCTGAAATAAACCTTTCCCCCTCCTCTACCTAGCCAATGCAAGGCAACTGTAAGGAGTTCAATAACAGTTTCTTCAGGTCAAAATTTTCCTTTAATAACCATGAAGAACTACTAGTATGAACATAACTGAATGCACTAAGTTAAGGGAGAACCTTAATACTGATAAAACGGCAATCACAGTAATGTAATAGACATAGTAAGACAACTGAAGCTGTCTCTTTCTAATAACTAACTGCTGACACTGTGGAAAAACAGTGAAGCATCTATTTACCATCTGATTCTGAAGCGGCTCGGATGATCAAATAACTGCTGGGCAATGGCTGAGTAATAGAACCAACTGCTTCGCCTTTGGGACCCTTGAAATAAAACAAGCAACAGCATCAGATATTTTAATTCGGTTTTACAGTTTATCATTCAATATAATAACAAGCTGACACACTGCAGGACTATTTACTGTCACTCAGCAACATCTAATGAAGACATGAATGGAAAGATGGACAGCCCTCTTTTACTGGATTTCTTCTTCAAATACTTCATTCTAAGTATAGTTCCCAATTCAACCCCACTTTAAAAAGAATGGTCTTTGGGATTCAATTTTTTGTTTGTTTGGTTGGTTTGTTTTTTTTTGTAAATCAGACTGAGCATAGTAACCTGAAATGCTCTGCTGATGCTACTTATAGCAAGACGACAAAAGCATCAAAAGGAAGGCCATGGAGGAGTCAACCTCACTGACCAGGGCTTCCTGCAGATGGGTGTAGAGAGATCACAAGGGACAAGCCAATCCTCTTCAGCTCAAGAGGTAAGATTGAAAGCAAGCAAACAAAAGACATGTCTATGGGGTGGTTTAAGAGAGTTGATTTACAACAAATGCTGCCTAGTAGAAGACATCACATTTGTACAGCAACTGGCTCTTTCCCCTCCAATCCTACTCGTTCTTGATGAGAGCACAGGTTCCTCTCAATTCCTATGAGGATGCTACGGTTCATAGCACAGAGACACCCGAGCAAGCTAAACCCCTGCAGAGAATGGGAGGCCTTCTTCAGTGATCCACTTTAAGCTTATTTTGCATGACACTGTGTTTGGTGTCCCAGAAGCATCCTATGCTCCAGAGCATGCAGTCATGATTTTTGTGTGTCTTCATCAGACAGATAAGTCAACTGACAAATAAAATGGAAATAACTCACCCAAACACTATGTATTGCTATAGGAACTCACTCATCCTTTCTCCCTCCCTCCTTCCCCTTCAACTTTTCTACCTACCCAGTAGTCAACTCAACAAAATATTTAGGTGCCTAACTGTACGCTTTGCATTTAAATAAGAAAAAAAAAAGATGCTGCCCAGGTCCATAACAGACATTTAGATGCTTAAGTCTCTCTATAAAGGGTATCAGCAGTACACCATGGCACTATGTTCAACTAAAGACATACAGAGGATGTCAAATGTCAAAGTTTAATTTTCACTATGAAGTTCTTCACATTCCAAATTAAAAGAAAAAAAAAAATATCCAAAAGACCTTTCTATTTCTGTCAACCTTCATTTTGGAATAAAATGCTAAAGAACCATTTTAAAGCCCCTTCAAAAAGGTTTACCTATGGTAACTTTAAGACAACTGGTAGGCAAAGAGGGCTGTATCAAATATACTTGAAGCTATTGTCAAAAGCTGAGTTAAGCCTGCCTAACCGGTGAGTTAACACATTTTGGTGTGGATTGATTTCCCCCAGAGAGAAGCCTAATGAAAAGCTAGTACAAGGCTCAGAAGAGGGAACTGGAAAGCCAGCAGAAGTTTTGAGCAAAAGCAGATAAAGGCAGGTATTTCAGAAGCAAGCAAATGAAACAGCCAGAACATTTCTGAGGGTGAGAGGCGAGTAATGAGGAGCCTTGGTGGCACTTAAATACCAATACAGGCAAGCTAGTGCTGGTGTAAATGATGTTCAGAAACTCCCGAACAGTCAGTACAGAGTAACAGCAACTTGGGTATTAGAAACATGATTCCAAATCTCGGTCAGCCTCCAAGTGAGCAGAAAGGTGCGTCTACGAAAACTCTTTGGTGAAGCAGTAACACGGGGATTAGGAGTTTGTGAATCATGAGAACCAGGAGGGACAACCTCATGCATGAGCACTCCTTGCCCCGAGGGTGGGCAGGCAGGGAAGAGATCTCACTCGCACTGGGTCCCCGGGGAGGGGAGAGCACCATGGCACAGGGCAGTGCTGTGGGTGGGAGAGGTGCTGGGGCGCTGGAAAGAGGGGACTGTGGGTGCACAGTGCTGTGCAAAGACCACAGCCATCACAAGTCCTTGAAACTCTCAGGTCACAGGACACAGACCAAGGGCAGACCTCTGCCTGTGACATCTCCCCTTCAGGGTTATACTGTGGGCATGCAGGGTACATTACTTACTCTGTACCAAAAAACTATAATTTAGAAGTGTGGTTTAGTGTTTGGAGTTTTTTTAATGCAAGAAAGCTATAATCCCCTAGGTGCTTTGCCAATACATTAATTAAAACCAAATTAATAATTTGCAGCAAACATTTAAGTAGGTTGATTTATTTTGGAATAACTGCTTGTGGATCTTGATTTCCTCTAACTGATTACTGTAGCAAAAGCACTGGATATTTTTCTTTGATATAGCCCATTATGGTTTCAAAATCAATTTGCAGTATGTTAGTGTACTGTACAAGAGAGACACCAGTTTCCATCTGTTAGGTGATTTTATTTGAACTGTCTCTGTTCCTGACAGAATGATAGTACAAGTACTACAATACAAGGTAATGGGCAAGTTACAAATTCCACTAGTTAAAAAAAAACTTCCAAGTTTACTTCCTACAGAATATTCACGCCAATAAAACTCAAATGCCATGAACATTCAGAGAAAGCAATAAAAGCTGATAAGCAGTTACACTTGACTAAATTTACTCATGAAAAATGAGTAACTTTTCTAGTTATTAATTTTAGAAAACTGAAATGGCATCAGGACTGGGCACATGAGGAAGACAGAACAAGGTACAGTGTATCAGCTACCTCAGAGTGCAGGAGGAACATCAAAGACCACAGCAACAGGCATAAGGGAGCGTGCGAAGTGACTGGCCACAAACTACTGCAGAAGAGAATTTGCAGTCTGCCAGAAGGACACACTGTGGGAAGTGTGTTCAAGTGATAAAATCTCCTGCGGTACTTATACCTGTGTAAATGTTTCTTACAATGTCATCTTCCTGCACTGACTGCAAACAAGGCTTCTTTTGCCTTAGACTTCTCATAAATCTACTCTGTAAATCAGTCAATTGCTATTATGCTTATGAAAGTTTGCCTCATGATTATAAATCTGTAACTAGGACATTGTAACTGGCTAGGTAAACAAGGTAGAAAAAGGTTTCAAACTTCAAGGCCTTTCTTCTAATTAAATTGAGTAATTCTCAACTGCAAATAGCCATACCAAAATGAACAAACGCCACTCCAGCTCTCAGCACATTTAGAATGGACAATATCAATTTGCTCAGGTTCAAAATTTGACCTACCTTAAAAAAGTAAAAATCTGGTTGGGCATGTCCTCTAAATTCTAAATATCTAGTTAAAAAAACAAACAAATCCATTTCTCATTGCCAAGCAATAAAGAAATATAAGACTGATTTGTGATCTTCTGCAGACAGGCCACCACTTTGCAATGTATGTATACATGATCATAAGTAATTAAATCACATTAACAGTAAATCCTATAGCTTTGGAAAACAATATGACGTTTGTGTTCTGCAAATGTGAAATCATCACTGATTAGTGAAAAGTCCTCCTAAGCAATACTAAAATAAAACTGTTCAAAAGCAACTACAAAAGATTTGATCTAAGTTTGGTAAATTTAGGTAACACTGATAATGATAGCAATTCAGAAAGTCCACAAACAAACATCAAGAATTACACTAGCTGACTGACTTCGCAGTCTAAGATAAGGAAGACAAAAATCAACGCAGTGTATTCTACAGATGTGACAGTACATCTCTATCAATTTAAGATTCAGAAGATACAACCTTACAATTAGTAGCTATCTTAAGATGTATGTTGCAGACAGCATTATTAATTTATTATGACAAGGGTCTTAATATTGTACAGTAATTCTGTCTAAAGCAAGATGTCATTTCAGGAGGTAAATACTTCACTTGGGCTCTGCTTCCACACTCCCTCTCCATATGCAAACACAAAACAAGAACTACTACCTTACTAGACTATAAACAATGAGTAATAGCAAACATTAAAGATTCTTATGAGAAATTGAAATAAACCTTTGCTGTGCAGAACACACTGCGCTGATCACAATATCATGCCATGTATGGCAAAGCAAACAGACATTAGAACTGAAGGAAAACATTTATCGTCCCAAAATTACAGCCAAAAAGGAACACAATTGGCTAACAAGTTCCAATATAAGCTATTATTGCACAAGGAAGTAATTTGAATTTATACTCTTACAAGCAAATTGAACTAGGCTGACATTTTATTGCACAAATACAGGGTTGGAAGCCAAGAAATGTTTATAACACACCTCAACTCTTTCATTTTGGCAAATCACTTCCCTCCTTAATTTCTCATATTTGACTGATGTAAAATACGTTACACAATCTTTCCTTCCATTTACATGATTGCCAAGCTCTTTAATGGCATCCTTCTGCACACCACACTTCTGAAGCTATTTAAGTATATAGAGCAGCATAAATCAAATACTTTTTGTGATGAAGAGGACTAGATGTTGAAGGCTCATATTCAGAATAAACAAACCATTAAGTTGTAACAGAAAATGCATTTCAGCTTTTCATTAAGGTTGTCTTTACTCACAGCTGGCTAATGCTAGTCATCTGTTTGAGAACCATATATGCTATCACTAACCTTTATAGCCCATATGGACTGCTCCAAAGGATGAAAGAGTTTGAAACAAAAGCCATCTTTTTTAGAAGGCCTCTCAATGAGTTCACATGCGTTCAGGAGCACTGTTCCTACCCACTGGCCATTTTTGGGGGTTTTGTAAATAAGTAAAACTCCTGGTTTCAGTACACACCACAGTTTGGTCCAGCTTTTCAAGGTACCACGAATCTAGAAGATAAATAGTTAGTTATAGTTAAGCCAATACCAAAACTAACCCCCTTAACAAAGTGAAAATTTAAATTTCAATTATTCATTAGTTTTTATGTCAAACAAAGTTTATCAGGTCTATAAAAAGTTTACCCAGGTTTATCAAAGACAACACAAAGGCACAATTTCAACGCTCACTCTTTCATTTTTTCTTGATGAATACTTATTCTACAAATGGGTATACACACATCCAGATATGGGAAGTATGACAATTCATCTGAAACCTTCATGAATTTTCCTGTTGGGAATATATTTTATAACTAGCATGAAGACAGGATAATCTTTGGAAACAGAGCTCTTCTGAAAACAGAGCAGACATCTGATAAGAAAGATAGGATATTCACAAAATAACTCACATATATTTGAATTTCTTAGATAAAACCTCTTCTAACAGCTGTTAGCTCCAGTCCATATGTGAAATATATGATCCTTTCAAGTCCCTGAATTTGCACATCTGTATAGACTGCTTGCATCAATTCCATCAACTCTGAATTTTAATTACTTATGTGTCTGTAGGCCTGAATGCCATTTTGACCTCTGAGCAACGTTTTAGCCTGTTTACATTGATTTTTGCAAAAACTGGATAAACTTTTTCCAGACCGGCTATTGTTTGGAGCTAACTATAAAAACAAGTAACAGATCTTTTTTTCTTGTAGAACGTCCAAGGAATATATTTGGAACAATTTCCAAGGAACAAATTTAAGGAATTATATACAAATATATAAACTGCACTATTGTTGATGACACTGACTGCCATCTTTGAGAAATTAATCCCTCACTTTTTGTACCAATATTAGAGGACACTTAAGAGGGGAAAGGAAAATTACCAGAAAGGAATACATAAAGAAATCTGTAATCAATATCTGACTGAATGACTTTCACTATTGTTATGGACATAACAGAGCTTCAATTCAAAGCGTAAAATAAAAAGGACAAAATTAAAATCATAAAGCCAATTCATCTGAAGTTAACGGCTATACACTCAAGATGCATGTGACTATGGTGACTGCAGTAAGTGGGAGCTAGGTTCCTCCATTATTCCCCTAGGACCTGAGCACAGAGACCCTGGGATGCAATTAGTGTCTGCTGTGCTTGTAGAAAAACATTAACAGCAAGTAAAAGATTGAGCCTTTTCTATTCTGGTCAGAAAGCAGCAAGCAGCTGCTACATCTTCAACTTAGGTTTCACACTTGGATTCTGACCTTCAACCAGTCAGCCATAACAATAACTGATGGGTCTGTGATAGTGCTAAGTAATTCCTTTGTAGCTCTCTTCTTTTCTTCTCTGTAATTTTTCTTTTGAACCTGTAAAAAATAATAAAAATATTTATAATGCCACAGCCATAAGCCAGTAATCGAAGCACAAAAAGACATCTATCAATACAAGCTGAGGAAAAACCTGGTAAATTCAATTTGCAATACAGATGCAGAGAAGTAGCATTAAAACACAGTATTTGACTTCAAGGTGTGAACAACTATTTCATGTTCTGTTTCAAAAGCAACTATCACAGCTACCACATAACCAATTTCAGATTCTTCTGCAATTTGCTTTTAAAACTGAGGACTTTAAAATTCCTGTTAGAATCACAGGGGGAAAAACAATCAAACGACCCATCCCACTTACTCCCTTCCTTTCCTGATGTAAAGTACAAAACTAAATTTGGGGCAGATTCAGATTTACAGGTAGGTTATCCGATCAGTCGTCTTTATCCACCAGTTACTTTCTCTCCCCAGCAGAACTTTGTAACAACACATCTCCCTCCTTTAGAGGCAAACAATTTGATGCTTCTCCTGACATGGTATTTACCAAACAGTGGAGTCTGGTCTTTTTACAACACAGGGGGAAGAAGGCAGGAGAAAAACCACAGGTACTGCACACAAACTGTAACTTTAATAATTCAGTTTGTCATTTCATTGCACATAGACGTCCTGAAGTCCCTGCCAACCTGAATTATCCTATAATCTTCTGAGTTATCCTATAATCTTGCACCATTTTAAAGACTGCTTATAGAAGCCCCTACTCAAGTAACAGTACAATAGGATTTGAAGAGAATAAACACCACTACTTCTCTAGTTAAATATTTCATAGCGGTCTCATCACTGCTTGGCATTTTTGTCGGCTTGTTAGAGTATACAGTAAAACTATGTGAAAGCATTCGTAGTCCATGAGGAGTTACTTGGAAATTAATTCACCTTGAGAGATTCTTTTTTGGTAAGCTTGCTTGAAGACAAAGAGATGTCCTTTTCAGAGCCATTGAAAAGCTTGGATTCAGACTGAAATTCATGAAACGCATAACAGATAAATGACAACGATATATACAAGGATATATGACTGTTGCAAGCACTTCAGAAAGTGTCTGAAGTGCATATGTTTGTACACTTTTCATTTCACTTCTCTACTGTTTCTCCCACTTAACAAAAAAAAAACAAAACAAAAACAAAAACCCACATCTTGTAACATGAGCTGTTCACCATCTGTTTATGGAGTCTTTTTTCATAGGGTTTTCACGGGAAAGAAGTCTGAGAATCCTCCAGAACAAGCTGAACTATATACAATAAATATTTAGCCCATGTAGCCTGTTACTGAATATGTTGCAGTCTTGACTAGTCAGGCATTAACTTAGCAGAGAGAGAAGGTTTTAGAATACCAGTGTTTAAACACAGGAGTCATTCTCATGTTCCCAAGACATACGAATCTCTCAACATCTTCTTTCATATCTTGACATACCTCCAGATGGATAGCTATAGCAGCACTTACCCCATGACCCATGAGGGAAAATACAGCCTCTTCAGTCTAGGATTCAGTGCTCTATAAATTATCAGAGTACAACTGACCACCAATGGTGCTTGTTCTGCTCCTTCCTCCCTAATCCCACGCTCTGATTACTTTTTGCAAGTCACCTTCAAGAAGTTCATGGTGATGACAGACAGAGGAACAGGACTCAGGTTTGTTCACGAAACCCAAGTCCTTGCTCATGGCAGGACAATATGCTACCTCAGCACCACATGATTTCTCCCTCCCGCCTCTCCCAACATCTTGTAAGGTTCAAAGTTTATTCCTTGGCATCTGTTGCCTACAAGTTGAAAGGGAACTAGAGTTGCCAAAGATTCATTCTGGGATATGGAGTGGTTATTTAAAAAAAAAAAAAAAGAAAAAGAAAAAAAGAAAAAAAAAGTAATCTATTGCAGAGTTATGTCACTCCTCTTGCAACTCAAAAGAACACTGAGTAGGTATCCACTATATATAAACTTCAGATAAATTACCAAGAGTTGCATTTCTTTGTGCACTGAAATATAATCCTGATGGACCCAAGGTTCCTGCTTAGTCAAAAAACAAAACAAAAACAAAAAACAAAACAACAAAAAAAACCAGTGTAACCTTCTAAACTGTGTACATTCAAGAATCAGAATTCAAGGACAGTTTATGAGAAGTGCTTCTCAAGCTCTTCAACATTTCTGACTCGTCATTTCAAATCTCAGACTACAATGCAAAGTCTGTTCACCAAATTTCTAGTTTGGAATACTATAAAATGACAGTCAAAAAACATGGAAGTTTTGAGAAAACCTACTGCAACAACAAAAACAGTGCACTTGAACACTCTTTTTTCTTAACACACAAGTTGCTCAAACCAAATTAAAAAAAAAAAAAGATTTTCGAGCAGAACAAAGCAATTTAACTTTGATCCCTTTAATTCAGAACTAAGACCTAGATAGCTAGTGTCAAAAAGATATGTGCAATAACTGGCAAAAAGTCATTTTATCTCAAAATCATTTAACTGCTAAGGAAATATTTTCTAATCTCCATATACATCTTGGAAAAATGAAGGAAACTGCTTCATTTTGTATTAAACATATATTCTTAACACTCAAAATTTAGCTTTAAGTTAAGCACACAAATTGAAATTTAATTCCTCTGTCTAGAAGTTAAAGGAAATACAGTACTTTAAATGTAATAACAGAAGAGGGAAAAATGCTTATCACTGTCACATAAGAAGAGGTAATGAACTCGTTATGCAAGCTATAATGGAGCAACTTAAGTAAAACATTCATAAATATTCTAGTTGCTCACTAACAGAAAGCTAATGCAATCTAAAGGTCATGCATATAAAAGTCCCAAAGCAGTAAGTATCATAGGTTACAAAAACTCCTTTTCTCAGTATTTCAGTTTTAAAGCTCGCTAATAAGACACTGAGCAAAGGTCCATATTTACCCGTCCAACAGATTATGAGACAGATCAGTGATTCGTATATTTTTAAGCTAGTAACTTCCTCAGTGTTACATCCACACAAAGTAGATGGTATCAACATTTAAAAGAAGAAAACATTTCAAGAGAACCTACTGCAACTTCCAGCAAGGTACATTCAGTACCAGATTCTGGGCAAGTCTCATCACTGCTTTTCCATCCTTACTTAAAAAGAAGCTCCACAACTGTGACAGACAGTTACCATCTTCTGCTAGCCTGAAGTTTATTTGTGGGTTATAAAGGAACCACTAGTCTTATCAAGTCCCACACACAGTAATTGCAAAAATAAGGATGAAGAAAAATACGTATTAGGAGAGTAGGAATATCAGTCTTATCTTTGATAGCAGAAAGACACAAACAAAAGTAACACCAAAGCACACAAAGACTTAAGAAAGACAAGAATCAATAAAAATAAACATAAAGAAAAGAAAAAAAAAGTTGGATACTGAAAGATAAATGATTAATAGAGTCTGAAATAAATCCAAGTTAAAGGAGACAGTATTAACTTGATTTCCAAGTCAAAAATGATTTAGAGGTTTCTGGACCAACACAAATATTTTGATGAGAAGCAAGCTGGATGGTAACGTACGCTTCCTTGGTCTCCCTGACATGTGGAGCTCTAAGACACAGTAAAGCTGAAAGCTGCGAAGTTTTGTGCCTCCAAGTCAGATGTAAGACACCAACAGCTTAAAATGCCTTGCTACGCACCACAGAACTGCAGCATCAGCTGCAGAAACTAACCTGTTCACCCCAGTGCAATTCTGATGACACCATTTAAGCAGTGAAATGCTACTGTAATCTGTAAGTCGATATCTGCTTAACATTTCTCTTCAATGCTCTGACACATGAAATACCACAGAAAAAGTTGTGTCAAGACCTCGAGTGCAATCCCCTCATCTCCTAGGGCTGTGGCTGCCTGTGCCCAGGGCCAGCTCTGACAGACTGCAGCGCTAACCTTGCAGCCAAGTGCTATGGAAAGAGCTGGGGGCGACAGTGGCTTCAAGAAGGAGGAATCGCCCCCATTTTCCTTGGGAGCTAGATGTGTTCAAGCTCAGGTTCTCACCTCCCCCTATAGAGCAGCCCATGCCTGTTGTGCCCTGTTTAAGTCTCTGTTACCACAATTGCCTCTGTAAAAAACAGCAGTCGCCCTTGCAGAAAACAGAAAACCACACAGCTGGGTAAATTAAAGCCTTTAAACTCTATCCAGTGGCAATGTCTAAATAAGACAAACAAGTGAACTTAGCTACTCCACTCAGTGATCAAACCATACACAACCTCCTTCTCCACAAAATGCAGTCTTTCCCTCTTCTCTTTAATGTCCTGAAGAGATGCCAGTTTTATGAGACATCCAACTGAAAATATTTTTTTCTAGAATTCCACATTCTAAATGCATAAAAATCTTTAGATAAAAATTCAGTGCATTGACATGCCAGGCACTTTTGCTGACCAAAATGTTCATGCAAGAGCTACAGCAGGACAAAAAATAAAGAAGGTTGCACCAGAGCGGCCTATACAATGTCCTAAATCTGACAGCTTCTCTAACTAACCTACAAATTTAAAAGGATTTGGAGAAGGAAGAGACAGCTATGGTAGATTTTTGTCTTCACTACTACAATGACTTTTTACACAAACCTCTCATCACATGCATACTATTTCAATATAATCAGAAAATAACATTTTATTCTGAATAAGAATGCTATTGCAAACTACTTGGGTAAATAATTGTGATCAGAAAAAACCACAGCTCTGGAGAGAAAAGACCTGGGATCACTACATAAAAAGAGTCTTTTTGGTTGCTCAGCTAGTTTGTGTTTTCTTCATTTTTAAAGTTTAGCCACCCAAAGATGCTACGGTTTTGGTGACTGCAGTGTCCATCACCCAACTTTGGATGTTCTCAGTTTTCACTGCATCTCAGTGAGCATTTTCCACCTTGGGACTACACAATGATGTTTATGAATTTGCCTGGCTCCTGTCTTTTCCATTTCTATTATCAAGACTACCAGAAAATATAAACAAGCATAGCAATTATATCTAGTTTACTATTCTACTGAGGATGCTTTCCTTTGCACTCTCACTGCCTCAACAAAATGGGCCTTTATACATGAATTCTGAGGTACAGAAGACCTTGCAACAGACAGGACAACAGATTACACTTAACTATGCTTTACTTTGGCAATTTAAACCATTAAACTAAACCTTTTCCAATTACAGTTTCTTTAACATTCTTATAAGAAGATTTGCTACAGCTCAGTGAACAGTATCTTCACCTACAGCTTAAAAGGATTTTAAATTCTGTTTCATAGCAAGAGTTGGCCTCCATCCATCATCGCATTTGGTGAGGCAACATCGCACCCCAAGATGACTGTGAGAAGACTCCACATCTCATTTTCACTAATTTGAACAGTAGATTTTTCATGTGATGTCATCCTGAGAACTCTATTAAGAAATTCCCTTTAATCTTTATCTATTGCTGAATCTGAAGAGTAATCTATAACAAAAGTTAAACACATTTTTATTTAATTAAAAATGCACTCAATTCCTTTGCACACTGACATTTTTAAACCAGATTAGGAGGCCGCTTTCCTTACCTTGCTTTTTGACATAGAATGTGTTGTATCATCTTTGCTTTGTGACACATCGTCCTTCCCTTTATCAAAACCTTAAAGAAAAGACAGCATTGTTGCAAATGATTTGAAGACATAACATTTTATGCGAGGTAGCCTTTGAAATAAATTTGCAAATTGTGTTTAGCATAAAAAAATGCAAGCAAATTGGATTTTCAAACAACATATACACACCAGTCCATCACACCAGTTGAAAACATACCAGTTACTACAATATAAACTAATATAATACCCACTAAGAGGTGAGAACAGTCCACTGTATCTGGATGGTGCTGCACCCCATCCAATAACCTGATGAATCATAAATATGGTGTGCAAACTTTTGTCCTTTCATCTTCTCACTCCCTCCTATCTGCATACATGTACACAGAGCAGAACACTAAATAAAGGCTTTTTTGGTTTGTTAATTTCTGTACCTAGAAATAATTGTTAAATACCACCTACATGAAAGCAGATCTAAAACACTGATTAAGATCACCAGCTTTTTGCAAATAAAATGAAAAGGGATGTTTACGTTAGCCTTGCTTTTATACTTTCAACTTGACACTGCATAAGCGTAACTGCAAGGCTTTACATTAAAAGAGTCATAGAAATCCCACATTTATCCTCTGTGAGCGACTCACAGTACAAACCTCACACTTTCTCAGGATCCAAAAAGCAAAGTGAGTCAATGGCGACAGACAGCACGTGTGTGACAATGGAATGGGGGGTCACAACAGGCATCAGTGCTGCTGTACAGCTGCTGTGTGTCACAAAAGAGGATGCTAGGTTCTCAGTAGATGTTAAGGAAAAATAATCTGCTCTGGTTATGAGACAGAAAATCTCAATGATCCATTTTCTTTGAAGAGGCTGTTGGTAGCACAAACCTTTTATAAACAGGAATACAACAAATCGCACAATGCAATTATCTGAGTAAGTAAAAATGCCACCATTTGTATGCCCTCCAGATAGAATGCAGATAAATATAAAGTCATACATGAATGTCAGGAATAATCCACACAGCTAGAAAGCCTTGCACAGCTCTGACAGTGGTATCCTGGAGCTTCATCCCACCAGAGGGCACTACATAGCAGAGAAACTGTATAAACAGACACCAAAAGCTCTCCCGAGCTTCCCTTTAAACACGTTCTGAACTTTGAAAGAGAAAATTGGTACTGAGATCTTTAAAATGAGATTTATCAAACAAATAGTTTGATTTAACATTCTTCAGGGGAGCATGTGGGGAGACTTTATGAGCTTTAGAAGAATTTTTATTAATTCTCTGTAGAAATGTGGAATAGTTTGTTCAGTGTGGGATTTTTTTTTTATTTTTTTTTTAAATCAGTATCTTCACCAGTTTTTTGTTTATACTTATTACATTTTGCAGAGATTCTTTTTTAAGACCAGAGTTTTGAAAATTATATACCGTAATACAATGATATTTCATTTTATGTTTACACAAAGCAAGCCTTACATGCCTTCACAGAAAAAATCTTTACATGTCTTTATAGAAGACCCTCTGCGCACAGTTCATTAATCTCATCCTTTTGAAATTCTTCCAACACATCTGTGATGGGTGTGTTTGGCTAATGAACACCTATAATGTAGAAGACTATCAACAACAGGGAAGAAGTATCTAGAGAAGCAGAAGATTTGCAGTATTAGGGAATCCGAAAAACCCCACAAAGGCACGTCATGATCCAGAGGCCAGAAGCCCTATTTCTTATACAACACCAAATACAAAAGCACATTTTCTATGGCACCAGTCATCAGGTGCTGAAACAAAACAAAGGTTGCTTTAAGCCTTAGAGGACAAATCTGCCTTAGTCACTGAGAAGTTATTACATTTGATGCCAGTCTTAGGTCTTAGACAGTCAAACACACACCAGAAACACAGCAATGTGGTTTTCTCCTACCCCCGCACCCAAAAGAAATTCCCAATCAGGAACCAGGCTCCACTGAAAATGAAATGCAGCATTTTCTAATATTAGGCTTTCCAGTTTTTACTTGTCTATTTATATGTACCTACAAAAGACTTAGTGATAGGAATCAACAAGAAAATGTTAAGTCAGGATTGTTCTTACAGAAAAGAAGCTATAATTCACAGCTTGCTTTCTAAAACACAGCAGCTTTAATCACAGCACATCCTTATCTAACATACGTATAGTTTTTTTTCAGAAACAAGCTTTTCATTGGTATCACCGATGAAAACAGAATGAAGTAATATCCCAGAGAATCGGACACGAAGACCAAAGCTGTCGTGTTTTTCTGAACTTCACCTCCTTGCTTCCAGTATCTTGAGCCCAAGAAGTGTGTTGAGCTTGCTGATTTAATAAACATGCCACCACACTCACTGTTCCCTTCCTTACTCACACACACAGCAAAGGGCTGTTTGAGGGGTTTGCTAGCAAACCCAAGTCGGAGTGCTGCAGATCCTGGAACATCTTGCACAGCTCTGTCTTGGTCTGTGGGGAAACCCAACCAGTCAGTCTCACAGCCCACACCATCCTGCCTGTAACCTTCCCCTCTATAGCAGGGACAAACTCACTCAGAATACAGGCAGAAGGTTTTTCTTCCCATGTGGTAAGAAGCATGTTAAAAAAATAAATAATTCAGGTGCTGATGCAGACACAGCCTCATCCAGTGTAAGGACACGTTGGCCAGGGAGCCTCTATTAAGGTGGAGGGACCTCAATACCATAAGCAGTCTTACTTCTTCTGAGAAGAACAGTTTGATACTAATATCTGCAGGGAAATTTGTCCTGAAACATCAAAAAAGCTATATATGGGCCCAAGTGGAGGATGATATAGACTTTGCCATGGAAATACTTGGTCAAGGAAACAACATCAGAACAATTAGATTCATAAAATCAATAATAAGAAATACTGTTTTCTCCCTTCCTGCTACCAGTTACAAACAAATTTCTCTATAGATTTCTGACAAAGACAACAGCAAAGCCAAGAGAACTGTACCTCTAAACGATGCTTTGTGCTATTGCTCTCTTTGTAGTTTTTTCACCCCAGAAGTACTGAAAATTGCTCCACAAAAAGTGACTGAAGTCAGTGTCTGCAGCAGAGACTGACAGGGTACGAGAGGCCAGAGGCAGGGTCTAATAAAAATAACGTGTTTCAAGTTTTCCAGTGTTTATCAGCAGTGGTTTGGAACTTAATATTTTAGCTTACTGCCTGTTTACCATCCTGTAAAATTCAATCAGTAACTTTTAAATAAGATAAACTGAGCTCACATTTTACAACAGAGAAATTCAGGTGTTGAAGATGCAGTGCCTTTCCAGAATTTCCTCGTGTTAAATCTCTTGGATTTGTGTATTGTTTTCTACCTAACCTCATGAAAGCAATTTTCAGATTTAGGGGACAGCAAGCAAGTGCAGTTCTAATCAATCTTCAGACCTGCAGACTGAGCTCCCAGACACTTGTAGATGTTTTTTTACTATTTTATTTTAAACACAAGTTCCACTACTGTGGCCTCTAAAACAGTTCTGGTCATCAGGGACTGTGTTCAGAGCAACACTATATCTTAACAGACTTCCTCCCAGTGTGACCTTCATTATCTGTAACATCACAGGCCCCATGGGCTCTGAAAGCTGATCCAAACCCCAGCGCAGTCAGCTGCACTTCATGGTATGACCTTAGAAGCCGAGGAAAGCTGTCCATTAGTATGTTCCTACTAGGAGTACTCGGCAAATCCTTACAAAACCTGCAGGCAGAAATCTATGAGAAAACTCATTATGAGCTTTCAGACAGATCCCAAGAGCCTGACAACTGCATGCAATTGGAACAGCCAGAACTCTACACATGCAAGAAGTCAATGAAACAAAACCAAATGATGCTGCAACACATTGTCAATATCAAAAAGGAAAAAAAAAATCCTCTGAAACATTATCTTTGACAAAAAATGAAGAGTAAATACATTGTAAGATTAGTGTTAAAGAATCTTTAGGATAAAGTCTGTGAGAGGGTACATTTTGAAACAAAACTGTTAAGAGATTTCAATTTTGAGGCATAACACAGGTCGTACCCTCCATCTGTCCCTTCAATCAGTCTTGAGGGAAAGGGAAAAACAAAACAAAACAGGACAAATACCACCTGCAATTAGGAAACCAGAGAAAAATACACCAGAAAAAAAACAAGTTACTTTTTAATGCTAGATCTATTTTATCCAAAAAGAAAGAAAGAATTATTATCCACTGGAAGCTTTTTTCCCCAACAAACAGAAGAATGAGTAAAAAAGCAATGCAATGCATGAAAAGATCACAAATAGCAAGCCAAGCAACAATATTACTGACTTCCAAAGGAAAAGCAAGGAACAGATTGATTTGATAACTAGTATGCATGTGCAGTTGTGAAGAATGAATAACTGAGCTGAAAAAATTATATGCCTCTGGAGGACCTATGAGCTACACTTAGTAGGAGATATCAATACTGGTGGTTATATAATAAACAGCAGAAAAAAAAGGAAAAATCTTTTTACAGAATTGAACACAAGAGACAACAGTCACTTTAACTGCCTGATTTTCAAAAACTTGCTGACAACCAGTTTTAAGAATACAATCCCGTATTAATTAATTCAAATTACTCCATGGATTTTGAAACTGAAGTAATCAGAAAAGCAAGCAAAATCCTTTTATGTATTCTCTCATGGTCATGTTTTCTTTTGCAAACACCATATAAAATAATAATAACCAAAGAATGTCCTCACTAACTACACGAGTATCTTTTAGACAGGCAATAACTACTCCTTGATTAAACTAAAATGGAAGAGTATACCTTCTATCATACTGATATTGTTTAAATTCTTCAGATATATGGAAGATTCCAAAAGATAAAAATTTTTATTTATATGTTTACACTTGATTTTTTTTCACTAAAACCTGTTTTCCATTTGTTCTGCTTTTAAGAAGTCATTCATTGTCCACTTACAGACAGCTATCAGTTTTAAAGTAAAATTCTATACAGGGAGGAAGTAAATAGAAAACAAATCTCTCTTTCAGTAATTACCAGACTTCATTTATTTATTTTAATGGTAGGAAGGATCTGTC